AGCAGCCTGACTAGTATTAGAGAAGTGTTAAATAAACAACTATAGAGCCAGACATTAGAACATAATGTAGTTTGGGAGCATGAAACAGCATCTTATGTTCTGACATGTGGAAATATAAAGATTCTACGCAAAAAGAGTAACCAGAGAAAAGTATGTGCAGTGTGACCCCATTTTAAAAAATCTAGATGGATAAAAACAAAGCTGTTAACCCTGGTCTCTTGTGCTTGAGTGAAGAAAGAATTTCCACTCTATACTTTATAGATTTTTTAATATGTAATTTTTAACTCAGCATGTATCATTTTTGTTATAAAAATATACAACTCTGGAGGGGAAATGAAAATATGTTTCCGGCTCAGGAGGAATTCACAATCCAGGTAGTGAACAATGACTTAACCAACTCTGGGATGGCTTACCATTATTAACAGGCAAACAATAAAATAACAAAATGAGAGGGACTTGTATGTGTTCAGGGAGATGCAGAGTAAAGAAATCAATCTGACTTGGGAGGGGTTAACTGGAGAAGAGTTTCTGGCAGAGGATGATGACTGGGCCGGGATAGAAAATACTGTAAATTTTCTAAATTAACAGGGTCAATGCTGGAAGATTCAACCATGCATAGACAAAAAAAAATGTGCATTTGTACTGAACAGGCAGGTTTTTTTATGGCATTATTCCCTAACATTACAGAACCATGTAAACACTACTATGTACAATGCAGTGTTCACACTGTATTAGGTGTTATAAATCATTTACAGGAAAATGTGTGTAGGTGATATACAAATGCTATGTCATTTTCTCTAAGGAATCTGAGCATTCTCAGATTTTATATCCATATGGTGTTCTGGAACCCATCCCCCACAGATACAAAGAAATGACTATATTTCAAAATGGTCACTATAGACAGAGATTTGGCTCAGTGGTTCCACCGACTGCCTCGCAAGCACAAGGACTGGAGTTCAATCTGCAGTACCAAAAGGGGTGGGGGTGGTCACGATAGTTTCCACGGTGCCAGACCATGTGCCAAATATTTACATGGATATGTTCATGTATTCACAAAGATATTATGAAACAGGTATTTTCTCCATTTTATAGATGAGAAACCAGAGGTTGAGAGGGCTAATGAACATTTCTCAAATCAAACAGCCAACATCTAAAGAGGAGATTCAGGGCCAGGGATTCAGTTCAGTGGTTCTGCCACCTGCCATCATATGCTGTCCTGATCCAAAAAGAGATGGAACCAACAGTCACTCCTCAATGGTACTGTCCAAGGGCTGTGATTGTCACGTGAGCTTAGGATAGCAGAGTTTAGCACAGAACCTAAATGGCACAATCACATTGAAAATGGTGGCTGAAGGGCCAGGGATTTAGAACAGTGGTGCCACACCTGCCTCATAAGCACAAGGTCCTGAGTTTCATCCCCAGTACTGCAAAAAAAAAGCAAATGGAAGATGAGAGTCAGGGATTTAGAACAGTGGTGCCACACCTGCCTCATAAGCACAAGGTCCTGAGTTTCATCCCCAAAAAAAAAGCAAATGGAAGATGAGACAAAGAGTAGTTAGTAGCATTGCTACTATTGTGGCTCTCAAATAGCCAGTGCTGGCACAGGTATGTAACTCAGGGGCACCACGCCAACCTTGCAAGTGCAAAGGGGTCCTGAGAGCAATCCCTGGTACCAAAAAAATACAAAATGGGATAAAAAATAAATAGCCAGTGCCTCAGGATACATCCCCACTAATCCATTTTTGCCTATTTCACTACCATCTTCAACAGAGCTGCCATCAAGCAAAGTTTTAAGTTCGTCTTCAGTAAACATACTCTCCTGCTCTGGATGCCCCACACACACACCTTTGGCCACAATTGTCCTTGCATCCCCGGCCACCATGCTGCACCCTACATGTTCTCATGCAAGGAGATGTGCTGCCTGTCTCCACGCTCATCAGCATTTACCCTCGCAGGGTGTCTGAACAAGACTCCCAAGTTTTATCTCCTTCTCTCCTAGTTATTCTCCTGTTCCCCACTTTGTCAAGACCACTGTTCTACACCCATCAGACGTGGTGACAGAAACAAGTCTACCACCAAGGACAGAGACAGCTCATTCCCCTTGTGGGATGCTAGATATTCACATAACGCAGTTGCATAGGGGCTTTCTAGACATAGTCTGAATCCAAGAGAGTATCTCCAATGGTGGAACACAAACCTAACAGTGTGGTCCTTGAGACACAACAGACCATGAGCTGGCACCCTCACTGGCACCCCCACAGCAGACCTAGAAGGCAGCCCATTCCTAGATTTCTTCTCTAGGTTGAGACATGTTAGCACTTACATGCACGTGTAGCTACTCCTCTTTCCAAGATGAAAATCCTTTCTGGCTTAGTCCTGCATCAGGAGCCCAGCCTTTTCTCAGCAGCCACCACAGGGGGCTGCTAAGCAGAGAAAGAGTCAGGGCTCCTCATTAAAACAGGCCAAACCACAAGCCAGAAAGGAAAGGGCTCCAAGGGGAAACATATATGAAATCAAACACAGGAATTCCTGTGGCATCTGTGCCCCCACTTTCAGCCATTGCAGAAAGGGTGACAACTGCTAAAGCCTTCCTTATCTAGAAGTGTTTGGTTTTCATTCAACAAATGGATTCAGAGATGATTCCACAGACAGGCCCTTGGGAAGCTCACAGTCTGACAGAGGAGATTAGAAGAGAATATCAAAATCCACATTCTACAGGCCCAGTGCAGAGTTAGGAAATAGTCTGAAAGTGCAAAATATTCTGAAAGTTTAATATCGTTTTTTAAAATATGTAAAGCTGGGGGGCTGGGGATTTAGCTCAGCGGTTCGGTGGCCTGCCTTGCAAGCACAAAGACCTGAGTTCAATCCCTGGTACCAAAAAAAATAAATAAAATATGTAAAGCTGTATATCCAACAGAAAAAAATCAGTAACTACATCAAAATGTGACTTTTCTGCATTGCAGAATTACTCTTGCTTAAATTTTGGGGGGCTTTTCATATTCTTTTTTTCCAAAAGACTATTATTGATAGCATCTTTGTGTTTTAAGGCATATTTTTATTCAAATAGCATTTAGTTTAACTCTCAGCTATATTACAGACATGCCATGTGACCTGGGGTGAGCCACTTACCCTCTCCAAGCCTCAGTTGCCTTCTATTTAAAATGGAAATTGTTTTTAATTTGATATAGTCATAAAATGTTTTTGGATCTCAAGTTCAGAAGGGTGAGTGAATCATGTTTCTAGATTCAAAACATCCTATCATCATCAGTCTATGCCAGGCTCACTTGTTTTATTGATTTATTTCTCTTACTCTCATTCCCCATTCCCACGTCCATCTGCTCTCACCCCTAGGCAAACATTCTGTGTTTAATGTCTTTTTCACTTAAGAATGTTTTTTGTAAAGTGCATGCGGTTGTTTGGTGAGTTAAATGTACTGTCATAAATTTCATTTGATTTCCTACTTTTTTCATGAAGAACGATGGGTTTAAGACCTTTCAACCCTGCTCTGTGAACGCCATCCTGGGCCTCACACTGCTGTACTGGCCCCACATACGCCTCATCTTAAAACCAACACTGCATGAGCAGCTTCCCAGTACACGTCCATGTATCTGCCACGTCCTGCGTTTCCCAGGGAGGGAAACCCAGGCTTTCTCCAATTCCATGACACCACAAACAACACCCGTGTTCCCTGATGAACTTGTGCAAAAACTCTTTGAGTTCTATGACCTAGACCAGAAAGGCTGGGAAATGAGGCATGTGTACCAAGCTGTGCAAGTCTCCCCTAGAACTTCTGCACAACCTGTGCCCTAACCAGCTATGAAGAAGCCTCCTAAAATACCCAACTTGGCCTATTCAGCTTCCTAATATTAGCCAGGCTAATAGATTTCTTGTACTGGGGATCAAGCTCGAGTTCTTGTGCTTGCAAGGCAGGCAGTGAAACCACTGAGCTAATCCCCAGCCCTCAGTGCCTAGTATTTTGAGCATCTTCTCACATGTTCACTGGCCACTGGCCTCCCTGTTCTGCAAATTATTCCTTCCTTTGCCCATGTTTCTACTGGGAGTTCTGTCTTTTTCTTGCTGATTAGGGGAGTTCCTTATATTCCAAATACCAATGCCTTGACTATTTTGGATATTGCAAATAACTTCTCCCATTCCGCCTTATGGTCTGTCTTTGGAAGAGCTAAAATGTTTTTCTTCGCTCCTAAGGTCCAAAAGGTTTTCCTTTACGTTGTCTTTTTTTTTTTTCATTGAGTTTATTCATACATTTTAGGTATACAGTACAGTTACATTCTCCATTGGAATCTTGTACAGGTCTTGGTTTTCATTTTTTTCCCCTTATCCCTGCTCTCTCTTCACCCCCTCCTGCCCTATTTATAAGTAATTTATTTACACTTTTTCATTTTCTCATGCTTTTTTTTTCTTTTCCCTTATTTCCTTTCCCTTACCCTTGCCACTTCCCCTACAGCTTTAGCCCTTTTCTTCCTATTTCACATAGTCAATTATACCATTAGGATCTTATGTACCATTATAGCTGTTCACACCAGAGAAACTATTCGGTAGTTATGCATGTGTGACTTATTTATTTCACTTAGGTTGTCTTCTTTTAACTCTGAAAGCATTGCCTCTTGCATTACGGTCAATCAGCCTGTGCTCCGTAGTGTCTCGCTCAGGTGAAAATAGTACAAGTCAAGCGCCCGGACACGGAGAACCTGGCCCCAGGCAGCAGTGCGCAATTAAGGGTCTCTGTTATTAACGCCAGCTGGAATGGGGGTGGGTGCTGTCCTAGGAAATGTGCCCCCTGGAGGAACGTGGAAACTGCTTCCACAGGAAAGATTTCCAAGAGGGACAGTGACTGACCTTGGGCCTTCTAAGGGTCACGGAGGAGTCCTTCGTTTTGAAATGGGAAGGTCAGCTTTCCAGGAACAGAAAACTGGCCGGGGGGGGGGGGGGCCGCGGGGGAACGCAGTGCTCACCGTCCGCTCTCCCTCTGTGCCCCGCAGGCTCCTTGTTCTCCACCCTGAAGCCCCCCGACGCCGTGTTCAAGGTGGTGTTCTGGCTGGGCTACTTCAACAGCTGCCTCAACCCCATCATCTACCCGTGCTCCAGCAAGGAGTTCAAGCGCGCCTTCGTGCGCAT